TGCTCCTCCTTGCACAAAGTTGTAACCTTTGTTACCAAAGTAGTAAATGGTCGTCTTGTTGTTGCCCCTCTAGTGCACCTGCTGTTAATTTCATTAAGACCAAAGCAGCTGAAACTGATAAACAACCCCTTCTGCTACTTAACTGACAAAATCAATATCCCAGAAGTTTGATTAACTTGATGCTATAATCTGATTACAAAGTGTTCCTTTAAATGTTTTGAGTAGTATACATATTCAGACAAACTAATAAATCTCCAAACACCCTGCCGTAGCCTGTTGTAACCACAATAACATTATGGTGTAATCTAGTTTACTGGGTGAACGGTGTTTGAACTGTAAAGTGCATAGAGATGATGTGTTGTGAATTGGCGCTGTATAAATGAGCTGAATTAAATTGGTGGATCAATGTACCTATTTAGGTGAAATCACCAGTCCTAATTTCACCAGGAAATAAAACAACAGGATTGGCTTTAAGAGGAGGAAGAGACAGAGGGCAGAGTTCATGGAGGAAAACCTGCTGCTTAGCCGGTTAGCTCTGAGAGAATGTTACCATGGTAACAGAAAAAGGTTGAGGAAACTCTGTGATTTCAGTAAACCTGCTTTGTGAAACTGAGCCTCGAACTCCAACCTCCCTGATCCTGATTCCTCCTAGAAACCAACACACAGTTGTGAACAGAATGAATGGTTTTCTACCATCAGAGAAATGCTGTGTTTGATCAGCTTCTGTGCCTGACCTGGAGTATTTGCAGACCCGTGCTCTCTAACACCCACAGAGGAAGAAATATGGAAGACACACTAATTCTCCTAAGCCTAGAAATCAGGTCCCTGATTCACCCTGCAAGTACCTGCAGGTCAGATTAAAGCGCATGGAGGGTCAGGGTCACACAGGCTTCCACGATCAGACACAGTAGAACCAAGCGACTGTATTTAGGTCCTTGTTAAACTGTTTTTAGATGTTGGACTAATCATGTAGACTAATTTATTTCTGTGTGTAAAAGACTCAAACAGGTCAGCACATCTAGGAGTTCTACTTCTCACCTCAGTCATCCTACTCTGAACAGGAGAACCTGAACTGAAGCTAGGAGCACAGGCATCAGTAGGAATACTGAAGGCTTAGATTTAAACCGTAGGCTGAAACCAACCGTGATCCCAGTAGAAGCACTGGTCTGCTGGGATGGGGTCCCAGTAACCTTCTACAGGGTTTCAGGCTGGACTGCAGCAGGACAGTCGGCCTCAGTGACTTCTGTCAGTCGTTTCAGACACTCTGTTAGCCAAGAGCTTCTACGCCTTTGTAGCTGGTTTTATCCTTCCAGTAAACTCTGTGGTCCCCGGGAGCCGCTGCCGTCTGTTGGATGGTCTCTGTTGGTTCTGAGGATCCGCTACGGGTCATCAGCTGATGGACCCATCAGAGCAGGTACCACAGCTGGTTCTAGTTCTGCTGCAGTGAGGGAGGTGTGCGGAGCAGAAAGGATCCTCTCTGAGTTCACTCAGCTCTCCTCCACATTGGGACAGCGTTCTGCCATGGTTCTCCTTAGCTCATCGATGCCTCTCCTCAGAAGGCCGACTTCAAGCAGCTTGGAGCTCAGCTCCTCTCCTGCTGCAGCAGCCTGAAGCTCCGGCTGGTCTGCAGAGACGCTGATAGCTGGAGAGAGACAAGGGGTCATTAGACCACAGGACATGAATCCAAGATCTGACTGGTGGCAGAGAAGAAGTAAAGCAGGGTTAGATGTTGTGGACGTTACATTTCATCCCTAGAAGAAGAGACAGGTTGGCCTCTTTGCCCTGGGCCCGGTGAGCCAGGATGCTGCAGAAACCTCGCAGATCAAATAGACACAGTGACATCTCCTCCAACAGCTGCTCCACCTCCGACATCCGTCCTGGAGAGGAGACCTCCACCGCCTTCCCCTGGTCCTGGACAGCAGAGTTCAGATCAATTCATTCATAAACCAAGGTCTGAATAAAAGCCGAGAGCAGCTCATCATCATCTCTAAAACTAAAATAATACTTCCATAAATACAGCTGGATGCGCCAGGGATAGGCTCTGAACCTGCCACCATGTCTTTAAACTGGTTTTTCTTTTCCCTCTATGAATGAAAATGTTAATTTCACTGCTAAGCTGCTCACTCACTGTTGAAAACTGTATGCATCAAAATTTCGTGCATACATGAGGACAATAAAGTTTGTCTAAATCTAAAGATCTTTATGGGCAATGTGAGATCTTTAGCAACCAGGTTAGAAGAACTCTAAGCCCTAGCAAGGACCCAGTCAGATTATCGGTTATACAGTGTTAGGTGTTTCACTGAAACCTGGCTGCAGGATCATACCTCAGACTCCAGCATCTCTCTGCCAAGCTTTCTGACCATAACAGCAGACAGAGATTTAAAGAGGACTGGTAAATTCAAAGCAACTGATGGTGTCATCCAGGACATGTTACTGTGATTCATCATTACAGTCCAGATATGGAACTCTGTGGTTTTTCGGCAAAATGATTTGCCCAGAAAGTTCAGCAGTGTTCTGTTAGTAACCGTTTACTTTCCACCTTCTGCTGTTGCCGACACTGCAGGTGATGTAATCAGTTCTGCTGTTGATAAGCTACAGACAAAACAGCCAAATACATTTGTGGCAGTAACTGGTGATTTTAAAGTCGTAGGGAAGCGGCTGTTCCAACCGTTGCATTTCCAAATTCTCCCGAGTGGTGCCCGACTTTACACGAGTGAATAAAGTGAATGTGATTGGTCGATTATCAAGGGGGCGGGATTGTTAAGGCTAGGGTGACCATATTTTCATTTGGGAAAACCAGGACACCTTGGAGCAGGGGGGGTGATATTGAAAGAACAAATGTCTCATCATCGGGATTTGCTCCGTGATCAGAGGAAATGTTACTTGGCGCAGAACAGTTGTGAAAATTTGAAGTTCAGTTTAATATAATAATACAACTCTGTGAATAGACTGCTGGAGATAGGCACCAGCACCCCTCGCGACCCCAATTGGGACAAGCGTGTAAGATAAT